AAGGACCCGAGTTTGATCCCCGGTACCAAAAAACAAAACTGGGTAGACGAAAAATATTAAAATATCCTTGTGTTTCTGGAATGAACTCTACTTATCCATTTAATATATTTCTACTTTTCTTGTATTTTTTGGGATTTTTTTTTTTTTTTGCTTCTGTTGTTACTAGGGAAATTATAGTGTGTTTTTTGGCGTATATGTTTATTTATTGACCTGGTTTTCTCAGGTGCTGCTATCAAGTGCTAACAATAGCTTCATAAGGTATCTGGAAATGTTTTAGTCTTGGGTACTTGTACAAATATGAGTCTGTTACCTCCCTTCTTCATCCACTAAAAGTGCCCTACAATGAGGATATAAGACTAGACAGAATCAACTGTTTAGGGCTAGGAAGAACAGAAAAATAAGCGTGTGCTGCTCAGTTCTTGGATTTTGTCAGACTTTTGTTTTGTTTTTGTGTCAGGTAGATTTTCAGCTATAGATGTCAAATTCTGACATAAAAAAAGCAGTAGGCTCCTCTTACTTCATCAAGTACTTTGGGTTTTAGCATCATATATTTAGGCTATCTGTCATATAAGGGCTCAGTGACTTGTATAAATACTCTAGAAGTCTTATGAATCTTGCATAATATTCATATTACTCGAGGATCTATATAAAAGTAATGTTATATCAAATAGTCTTCTACAATGTCTCTTTATGTGACTGTATAGATTTCCTTAGGATAATGATGTATCATGAATCCTCAAGTAATATGAATATTATGCAAGATTGGGAATATACGGATATAAATTAAAACATAAAGACAAAAATGATGATATCAATAATTAATAATATATTAACTAATATAATTATTGAATATATAACAAAGACATTAATAGGTTTTGTTCTTTTCTGTATTCTTACATTTATATACGATGAACATTACTGGGGGAAATGATCTTCACTTTTCTATGAGGGAACTTTCACAAGTAGAATAATTTCCAGCCTCTTTGCCTGACCCTTACTTACTGCTTTTCAGGGTAGGTGGAAGGAGTGTGTTGTCTGATTGGAAGACGGTAAGACCATAAAGTTCCTTGTTCTATATTTTTTGATGGAGTAAGGCATGTGGTGGTCAATATCTTTGTCACCTGTCTGTCACCAGTAATGTCTGATCCCCATCCAAGTTTCCCTCCGGTGCTCTGTTGTCGGTATGGCACTAGTGAGCCCATTTAGCTGCAAAACTAAGACACATTCTTCCATGACATTTTTCTAGCGCTAAACCTGAGGTTTTAGTTACTACCTAACTCTTATGTTGTATTTTTCAATTTTCCTCAACCTAACAAATAGGTATTACTTTCATTATCAAAGAAAATAATACTCTTCAAATTGTAGGCCACTCTGTGCACAAATATTATTAATAGGTACCACTATTGACTATGTGGTGACCTTAAAAATTGCTTTATTTTGCATTATCTCATTCACCAAAGTTTTACAACAGTCTTATAAGAATGGTTCTGTTATGATCTTTTTTTTTTAACAAGTTAGATAAAAGGCTAAGACCTAGGGATTTTTGAGCTGTTGTGTTTCATGTGTTTCCTTTAATCCATAATTGTGGATATAAAACTGAAAGCCTGGGGGGACTAAAAAGGTAGTCTTCTATCTAGATTTTTGAAGATATGCACTCAACAGTTAAATAGTGAAAACTGAAATGAACAACTGCGCAAAAATCACTTCTCAGAGTTCTCCATCTTTTGTTTACTAATAAAGGCCTGTTACGAACATTTTATATTCAAACTGGCTTGTACTTGCTTGTTAACTGAAAGTTACCAGTAAACACACCCATGGCATACTATTGGAAGAGAAAACATCTGAATCGTCCAAAAAGAAGACTCAAAACAGGCCAGAAATATGCTTTTATGAAAAAAAAAATCCCTAAGCTATAGTGTTGCTTCTCCAATATGCTTCTGGGGCCAAAGAGGGAGAGGAGGAGTGGATAGGGATGAGTAGGAATGGCAAAAATGAGACATTCTATCATATGATAAGCATTTCTCTTGGCTGGGAGATCGTCAGGGAAAAAAAAAGCTGAGCCCAATGCTAGAAATTTGGCTGACAGCCTTGAGAATATAGACTATGAGAGATTTCTAAAGATTGCTTCATATCCAAGGATTACTATTAAAAACCAAACTGATGAGCATCTCTTTAGCTGAGAGGTTGGGCAGGAGATTTCCAGGATTACCAGATAGAAATTGAAAATGGCTGCTTGCAGCTGGCTGAATAAGCCCATAAAACAAACCTTTGAGAATTATTTTTACTTCAAGAACACAGTGTTTACAACTCCAATAAAACTATTCTATATGGTTTCCAGGACAACTGTCAATACGTTGTAAATTTCTCAATATAAAATGTCAGTATAAAAATCTCTGAATAATACACCCTGTTATGCCACAACCCAGGGCTGAAGCATGACTCAGTGCTGATGTCTAATGAGGTTGGTCAGTCAAAAGTTCACAACTCTGCTCTCTGAGCCCTTTGCTGCACCTAGTCTATCCAGTCTCAGTTTAGATATCATTTTTAAGCAAATGACTTCCAAGTCTACTTCTCCACCCCTGCTTCAAGAATCTTAGTCCCACCTTTATCACTTTTGCTGGTGTCACTGTGGGGATGAATTTTTTGCGGGTCCCTCAAACTTCTTGTTCTAAAAAAGAACAATTGACCACTGCCCCAAATTTATGTTTCTTGTACCACTAAATCAACTAGCCACCTTTCAGATACTTCTCATGAAATCTTGCATGATCCTTGTGAACCTTTCTTAAGCCTAATGAGTTACCAACTCCTGTTCATATCTCCTTCCACTACTTTATTCAGGGTCTGTCTTTCTCCTGCATTAGCATTCCCACACGATGGTTTGCTTGCTGCCATCTTAATGCTACTCTTCCTTGTCTCCTGCTATCAGAGTAATCTTCCCAAAGTTCAGTTCGAGTTTTATCATTGTCATCCTCAAAACCTGCATCAGCTCCTCCTACCATGGTGAAATCCAGATTCCTTACCTTGACATTCACAATCAGATTTTAGCTTTATTTATTCATGTGTCCTCTGTGCTAGCTCAGTGTTTTTAAACCTCTTTTTTATTACTGTCTCCACAGAGATTTTTTTTTTTTAGAATTTCAAATCTATCACCCCTCTCATGAAATGTTAATATCATAGATACATTGTATATATCTGTCTAGGTATTATGTGTATATCTGTGCCTTATACATAAAAAGAGTAAGATTTTGTATCTATTGAAAATCTATACTCTAGCCAAAACAGATTTTCTTACTAATCCCAGAATGTGCCTCTGTATTTCCTAGCTTCCCAGTATTTGCTCACCCTAACTATTAACCAGAGGAGGTAAGGGAATAAGAGAAGATTCCTAGAGTGCACTTCTGCTATCCAATACACTGTTCACCTCGCCATACATTTCTTCTCACCATCCTGTTTCTTCCTGTTGAAATCTCACCCTTCATGTTGCAACCTAAATACTATATCCTCTCCCCTGATCCACTTAGCTAGAACTAATTTCTTTTCTACACTCTCATGGGATTTTTTTTTATTATGGAGCATTTTTATGTTCATATTATCTTCCCCACTGGATTATAAGCTTTCTAAAGACAAGGACTACATTGTTTAGTGCACAATATCTTTATGTAACAGGTACCAGAAAATGTTGGTTAAAATCAGTTCACTGATACACTAGAAACAGTAAAAAACCCACCATCAACTCACATTAAAAAGTCCCATGTGTGGGCCAGGGATTTAGCTCAGTGGTTCCACCGCCTGCTTC